AGTGAGACTCTGTCTCAAAAAAAAAAAAAAAGAAAAAAAGAGACTGAGGCGGAAGGATCACTTGAGGCCAGGAGTTTGTCACCAGCCTGGGTAACAGTAAGACACTGTCTCCACGGAAAAAAAAAAAGACTTGATCAAGAGAAGTAATGAAAAAAAACACTGGGGCCCTACATTGCTATGTCGTGAATACCAGAATAAAGAGGTGATTAATTGGATCTAATGTTACAGAGAGGTTGAAAGCAAGAAGACTTAATTAAAAAGATGTTTATAGCTGATAATCAGATGTATGATGCCTTCAAGAGCAGTTTCTGTGGTGTGAGGGATGGTGAAAAGAGTAAATAGAGATTTTCAGAGGGGATGGGGCCTTAACACCAGCTTATAATGTCAACTGAATTATGTTGTAACTTTTAATATATCACTCTGTAACATGTACATTTCTGTTCTTGTTTTCATAGCATGCTCTAAAGAATGGTGACATTTGTGAAACTTCAGATAAACCAAAAGGCACACCTAAAAGAAAACCTGCTAAGAAGAATAAAAGCCAAAAAAAGAATACCGCAACACCCTTGAAACAGGTTATTTTATTTTATTTTTTTGAGACAAAGTCTCTCCCTCCCTGTTGCCTGGGCTACACTACAGTGGCACAGTCATAGCTTGCTGCAACCTCAAACTCCGGGCCTCAAGCAATCCTCCCTCCTCAGCTTCCTGAAGTGCTAGGATTATAGGTGTGAGCCATAACACCCAGCCCTGAAACAGGGTATTTTAGAATATTGAGATTTAACTTCAAAGGATTACTTGTTACTGTCATTATTAAATAGTGTAAACTATCTTTAACTTCAGTAATTAGTATAGTGTTTTCTATTGATGTGTAATCATAAAGTGCTTTTTTTGGTGTCCCTTGGTTTTAGCAGGACATAAAACTTCTAAAACAACTATTAAACTTTCTATTGTTAAAGATCATGCATGTAAGAAATGAAAATATAAGGAATTAGATGGGAAAGATAAATGCTAACATCAAGACAGTGTTTACTTTGTGGGTTGGGGAAACAGGTGATGCTGTTCGGGTGGAGTGCCTGAGGGCCTTAAACTGAATTGGCTATGTTTTACTACTTCTTTCTTCTTCTTTTTTTAAAAAGCCAATCAAATTTAGTTTTTTACTTCTTAAGTTGAAAGATGGGTATCTTTTTTTTCCTTTTTCTTCAAAAACCCTAAAACTATTAATTCCAGGGAACCCAAAAGTCTAGGTAAAGTCACTTCTGCTAGTTAAAAACAGGAGACCTGGAAGCTAAGCATTTTGATGTCTTAGAAGTCAAGTTTAGTTTCATGTGTACCAAGGGGTAAGAGAGCTAACAGTTGATGAACGCCAGCTCCATGCCAGGCCAGAGTGCTGGACACTTTATACACTTTCCCTCCTTCTTATTCTTCACAACAAATGTGGGAGGTAGCTTTTATTGTAGCCATTTAACAGGGATTTAAAATAAGACTCAAAGAGATTAAGAGATTTGTCCATGATTATAAAAATGAGAGAGTTGGAATTGAGATGTGTGCGTTTTGGGGCCCAAGCCTTTTTCACTATATCATGTAGCCTTCCAAATCAGTTAACTGTTCCCTCAACCCTCCACTCTCCACCCTGTCTCTGTACAAGATTATAGTTTGCCCCTTTAAAAGAAATTTGTGTGCATGTTTATATCTTTGATTTCTTTCGTAGTGGAAAGTTGGTGACAGATGTTCTGCCATTTGGTCAGAAGATGGTTGCATTTACCCAGCTACCATTGCTTCAGTTGATTTTAAGAGAGAAACCTGTGTTGTGGTTTACACTGGATATGGAAATAGAGAGGAGCAAAATCTGTCTGACCTTCTTTCCCCAACCTCTGAAGTAGCTAATAACATAGATCGGAATGCTCAAGAGGTAAGGATACAAAAAGATTCAATTCCTGGAAGCAGAGACTAGATGAGAAACTAAGCAGTATACCTAGTTGTCAGTTTGATTCACTGAGGCATTAAATTTTTCTTAATGATACCTTCGTAACAAAAATATTTACATTTTTTCTTTTTAAAGAATGAAAATGAAAGTCAAGTTTCAACAGATGAAAGTGAGAGCTCCAGGTCTCCTGGAAATAAGCCAAATAACATCAAGGCAAAAGCTACTCCATGGAACGCTTTTCTCCCTCCACCTCCCCCCATGTGTGGGTCAGGCCTGGGACTAGGAAAGGTAAACCTCCTACTCAAAAGGTTTCCCAGGAAATAGTTTATATTGGGACTTTTAACCCCTCCCTTAAGTGATTTGTAGCTTTCCCATGAAACATTTGTAGTTCTCTTTAGACATTATAAATACACTCTTGAGAATTCTTTGAAAAGGAAATAAGATAACAGTGCAAAATGATTTATACTGAAAGACTTACCCAATTACTTTTGTGGAGTACTGCATATTAGAGTAATAATTGAGCAAACTTAGATGAGGTAGTTTTTTGAGACATTTCACTCTTGCCCAGGCTGGGGTGCAGTGGCATCATCATAGGTCACTGTATCCTCCAACTCCTGGGCTCAAGTGATCCTCCTGCCTCAGGCTCCCTAGTAGCTTGGACTGCAGGAGCATGCTACCACACCTGGCTAATTTTTTCATTTTTTATAGAGGCAGGGTCTCACTATTGCCCAGGCTGGTTTTGAATTCCCAGCCTCGAGCCGTCCTGCCTTGGCCTCCCGAAATGTTAGGATTACAGGCATGAGCCACCACAACTGGCCAGAAAGTATTATGATATGCTGTAGTTCCCCATGTCACCTATATAAAATATGTTAAAAAAAAAAAAATGCAGTATTTACATCTATCTAATGCAGACAGAATCCTGAAGATCTCCTAGATTGTTTTGTAAATATAAGCATTGTCTTCATTTATG